AGAGAAACAAAAAAAGTCACATGATACATTATAAATACGTTAGGAACAATAGCAAGAAAGGAAAAAAAACCTCTTGTGTCCCTATCTTGGGGTTCATTTTGCTTAACATCATCTTGTCTGGTCATATGTACATAGCTTTGGACCTTTTCTGCTTGTCCCAGACATATACTAGTTATTGCAAACAAGGGAAACCATGGGACCTATGTTTCTTTGGGCCTGGCTTACTTCACTTAATATAAATTTTTCCAAGTCTTTCCATTTCCTAACAAATGGGGCAATGTCATTCTGATGGAGGCATAGAATTCCAGTGTGTGTGTGTGTGTGTGTGTGTGTGTGTGTGTGTGTGTGACATTTTCTTGATCCATTCATCTACTGTGGGGCACTGGGTTGGTTCCATATCTTAGCTATGGTAAATAATGCTGCAATAAACATAGTTGTGCTGGTAGCTTTAGTATGGTCTTGTTTGTGATCATTCGGGTAATTGTCCAAAAGTGGGATTTCTGGGTCATAGGGGAGCTCTATGTGGAGTCTTTTGAAGAACCTCCATACTGCTTTCCAAAGTGGTTGAATAAGTTTACACTCCCACCAGCTGGAAGTTAGTTTTAATAAAATCACATTTCTTCATTTTACCTATGTTACCAGAAAAATAGGCATTCATTTACATAAGCATTGGGTTTATTTTATCTGGTTTGTCTAGGAGTTAACTCATGATTTACTTGACTAAGTATAATATATCTAGGAATAAAACCCCATGGAGTAAACATTTTAAACAGTTAACAGAAATATTAACAATGAATATTAGGAAGCTGAAACAAAATTTTAAGGTTTGTAGGACACTAATGAGTATGGGGTTGCATAAATTTAAGAGAGAGCAGGAATATATATTGCCAGAATATTCAATTTACGTATGTGATAAAGGAAACAGGAATCATGAAATGAGCCTAGAGGCAGGGAACAGATAGGATGGATGATTCACAGGAAACTTAGATGGACATATTCAACTGTAACCCTCTTATACAACCTTTAGAAGGTCAGAAAGTAAAATAAAAATAGTTTACTTCATGTATATTAGAAGATATTGCATCCCACCAAGTATAAAATTACCTTACATGTTTTTAGTTATGAACGCTAATTCATCAGCATTTAGGAAAAGAAGTGATTTAGTTTCCATTGGGAAGAAAGAAAATCAGTGTTTACTAGCACCTATCAGCTATTTAGAAACAAAGGAGAAGAAGAAAAAATATCTGCCCAACTTTATAATGGAGGGAGGAATTGACTTATTTTTAGTCACATTTGGGAAACAGATGATGCAATTGTGCTATGTGTTGACTGATAACATGAACCCTCATACATCACAATAATAAAATGATGCAAAATGTCATTGGGCATCAGTGACAAAGGACAATTCTTCACGGTCCTTGATTTTCAAGAAAATAGAGGTTTGCTAAATGAGAATTAAAAGATGTCAGCAAGTAATAAATAATGCTATATTCCCATCAAAACAAAATATTTTCTCTGCTGCCACATTCATAAAAATTATAAAAAAGACAAAAGTTTGGCTTAAAAAAACACAAAGTTTTCAATGCGCTCCTGTTCCACTATCCCATATTGTAGGGTGAAAATGGAATTGATTTTCATTAATTATAGAGTTGTTCAAGAAAGGTTTTGGACTTGAACTCTTTGGAATTATTTTAGCAATTCCCTGTTCATACCTGCTGTTTTCCATTCCTTTAGTTTTTTATTTTAAAATATGAATCCAAGATTAATGAGGGAAAAGTGAATAGATGTTTGATCCACTGACATGTATAAAGAGCTTTTTATTCAGAAGAGACAATCCCACAATATATACACTAAAACAAAAATATATTTTGTTACTAAAAATATTTCAAATATGATCTTTGTAAAAATACTTCAAACATGATTTTTACTTCAGCTTATCTGTAATTTAGATAAGCTAAATATTTATCTGGGTAAATGAATGAACTAAGGATAGAAATGTATTCATCTTCTGTGCTAAGGTGAAGAAAAATAGATTACAGTGTGTGTCCCTTAATGGGGGGATGCATTCTGGAAGATGCATCCTCAGGCAGTTACATCATTGTGCAAACATCTCAGTGTACTGATAAACTAGGATAGCTACAGTTTCACTCCGTGATGTAATCTGTGATCATAGTGTTGAATGACATGTCCTTAGGCATCACATGACCCATCATACATATTTGCAAACCCAAAGTCTAGACCCTAACTTGCCATGAAATAAAGTGTTCACCAAATCTTAGAACCATTAATAAATTGATCTTGGTTCGTGCCAAATTTCATGGAAAATCCACTACTATGAAAGAGATGTGCATTTAACCATGAAACTAAGTATTAGGAACTTCAGAATTTGTAACTTCTTCATGTCTGAGTGTTTTGAGGGTTTTGTTTTGTTTTTACATAAATTTAGTTTTATTCTCTAACAAGATCTTAATGTTTCCACAAATCAGAAACATGTTTGCTAATGTAGTAGGCTCAGCATCTAAAATGTATTCACGAAGAAACTCCTAATTAGAAATTAGGATTCTTTTTTATCTGAAATAATTTCCCTAAATGTCAGTAAGGGCTAGTGAAATTAGGATGCTGTGCTGCTGTCAGTAAAAATTATATAACCCAAATTCCCTGTCCAGCTGTGGTTCTTTATGCCAGCTATCTACCCTTCCTGTGCCTCAGAGTTCCAAGTAGATAAATTCTGTATTGAAAGTGCATTAAACAACTAACAGATGAGAGAGCTATTTGACAAATGAAACTGCATCTATTTTTCATTAGTAATAATATGCAACTTGTGAAAATACAGATCACAGCCTCTGCTTACCCAGCTGGCTATATAAGGTGGTGTCTTGAATAAGTAGGCAGTTAAAAACATGCTTTGAGCACTCACAATCAGTATCTACCATTTTTGGGAAGCCTGAATGAGTCCGGTGCCATCCTCTCAAAAGGCAGAGTTACTCTAATTAATAATACAAGTCTGTATATCTCTAGGGTTTATTTGTTTGTTTTTTTGTTTCTAAGGGGGCGGGTTTTTTTTCAGGCTCTTTATTCGTGATGTTAAATGTTATACTAGAAAGACGGACACTTTTACTTGTGTAACCATGACTACTGTAATGGCCTGGCCATCTCAGGTCATAGACATTCTAGAATCCCTCGTTACAGCCCTTGGTTAGTCAGCTTGATCAGCTTATTTTTCCCTATAACTCTCATAAACTAATATCAAACTGTATTACTAACAATACACATTTCAGGATGTGACTAGAAAAGCCTACCAGATACAGAACAAGGGAGCACTATGTTTAGTGCACAGAGCTGAGCCATCTTGCTCTCAGTGTTCTGGGCTTTGAGTTCTATGATAGGACCCAAACAGAAAGTCATTTAAGCATAGTGTAAATATGCATGGCTTATACCTAGCACAAAGTAAGTACTTCGTCCTTTTAAACATGACTTGATGGATATGAGCTGTCTAGTGAGTGCCTACTTTGTCCATAATTAAGGGAGACATAGAAGAAATAAATGGCATGGACTTAAACCAAATGTCATCATTTGTTCTCTGAGATAACATAGGAATATATGAAATATTTGAGCATTACAGGGAGAGACTTTTAAGGGATAAAGTAGATCATTTAAAAGATAAGGCTGTAAGAATTCAAAGTAGGATCAATGAGGAATTATCTCAGGAAGGAGAAATTGAGGTGAATTTGGAAAGATAGGTGGGATATGGCCAGATAAAGCTTGCCTTTTCCTGGAGTAGCAACCGCCTGTGCAGATGTCTAGAAATGGTGATGGGATAATGGTCAGTTCTTGGAGACAGATACTTAAAACCAGCAGGATTATAACTCATATGTTATAATAGAGCCTTAAACTAGTCAGAAGTATGTTAAAAAGATGTCTACATAAAGATGTTATTGAATTAGCAGAAGTTGTTAAGCGATTTAAATAAATCACAGAGCACTGACAACAGAAAAAACTAAGAAATATTGAAAAAAGAAGTAAATTTTTGCATGCTGACATTGAAAGTCCACCATAGAAAGGCATAAGAAGCTATTAATGGTGAGAATGCATTTATGCAATATCTGTTAGCTTTGAAAATTGATTTTTATAAAATCAAAATGGTGTTTCGAGATACTTGTGATGATATTACCTTGAATTACAAGGAAGTGCCTGGAAGTGAAGAGGAGTCTTGGAACGTGTGTGCATGAGTAGAGATTCTAAGTCTGAGGAGGGGCTCCTGAATGGCAAGAGTGAGCTGTGTATTCTGAAAAATAATTACAAATGAACTTCATGACAGATTCTGTGCCCTCTCCTCCTATTCTTCCTCCTTCTCCTCTTTCCCCTGCTCCCACCCCCAATTCCCTTCCCCCCTCTTTCCCCCCCCACAATTGTTAACTCCTAGGGACACCAGACAAAATAAAACAAATACCTAATGTAAATGAATTCCTATGGTTCTGATGACAAAGGTAAAAATGAAGAAATGTGATTTTATTTAAAACTAACTTCCATTAGTTAAGGTAAACATTATTTAGTCCATAAGTTTTTATTATGAACAATAAATAATGCCTAAGGAAAAAATAACAATTTAAAGCCACAAAAGAGGGGTGGGAGGCATGGTTCAGTTGGTAGAACACTAGTCAATCAGCAAAAGTGTCAGGCACCAAGTTCAATTCCTGGTTTCACACCTAAAAACTAAGACCCACAAAAGAACCTAAAGCTTCATCCTTCCAGCACAGACCATGTGGGTACTGGCAGGAACTCAGTGTCTTACAGAGAAGGTCTTTCTAGACTTTTGAACACAAGGCCTTGTGCATGATAAACAGTGCTTTACCCCTTCCATATATCCCCAGCCCTCTGATTCTTAAACTATGGGATAAAGAAGAGGAAATATATTTCCTGGTCTAATTTCCTGATCAATGATAAGATTCACGCTAATAGGAAACCTTCTTTAAGAAACTCTTCATGGTTTTGTTTCTCAGGATGGAAGAAACAGTCCGAAATTTATTGCAGAGTCAAGGATCTCCAGAACAAAGGAAAGAAGAAACTGTTCACATGAAGGTCTATCAGGTACATCATGTTTCTTACTCTTGGCTGTGTGCCACTCACTTACTTGTGGGTCAATTATGGCTTGAGGAATCATACACAGCTTGATTGTATGATGCTGCAAAGAAAACCAGAAAGACATATACAAGCAGTGCAGGAGTACAAAAGAGGTGAGTACAACAATTTATGAGGACAAAGAAAAACTCGAGAAAACTGAGAAATTAAGGACTGCTTGCCAGTGATGTGGTTTTGAGGTAGGCCTGGGGAATAGAGGGCAAGGGGAAGGACATTCCAGGTACAGGAGAAGGCTAGATCCCAATGCCCTGGCATGAATTTTCAGAAAATGTTAAGTAGCTTAAGGAGACTGAATGATGGTCTGCTGCTGATGAGAACAAGGATGCCCAGAAGAGCTAGATGGGGTCTGGGCATGTTTGTCATGCTCATGAATCCAACCTTGTATCTGACAATGTGGAGTTCAAATAGATGCAGGGAAGAAATGGTCACTGAAGGGACACTCATCCTCTTCTTGGATATCACTTATCCCACAATCCATTGATCCAAGTCTGGTAACCAGAGTAACAAGCAGGACATCTAGTCTGCCTGTGAATCCAGAAGGTTCTAGCAGGATGGGAAAAAGAAATGCTACAGGAATCATCTAAGTGCTCTACATTTAAGACTTTTATTGAAGACCTAAAATCACAAATAGAGACCCAGTATTCCCAGGTCAACTATGTGTGGAAGGAAATAAATAAACAGACAAATAAAATAAGCAATCTATAAATAAAGCAAGGAAATGGGTAGAAATTTAGGGTTATTACTGGTCATCCCTGAGTTTCAGCTGGCTTAAAAAGCAAATAGGTTAAGTAAAACAAGCATCGGAACACAGCCAGGAAGGATAAATTTGCATTGGTTTATTTAAGTTCATAAGTTCAGGGTCCTGCACCCCAGTGTGTTATGAAGAAGACTGGGAAGAATCTGATAATAAATGTCAGTATGTCATACAGAGTGATGATAGCTCAGCTTGTTTGCCTTCACAGTTGATCCTGGAGACATGCATAGGGCTGCTTCCTAAAGGCAGAGCCAACTGCTTTTCAGGCAAGATTGATGGAAGCACCACAGAGATAGGAGAAGGACAAGTAAAGTCCAGCTCTGGAGACAGAATTTAGTTTATTCTTGAAGTGATGGTCTGGACAAAAAGAATGCATGCTCAGCTATTCCAAGTTGACTGTGGACTAACACTTGATTAAATCTATCTGGCTGTGAATTGCTCCTAGATTTTATATTTGCTTTGGTTGAATGATGGCATACAAGTAAAAGTGAGACTTGATTTAGCATTAACTAGTTCTGTGCAAGCTAAAAGCCATGGGAATCTGAAACGTGGTCCATTTGTTCCTGCTCACAGGTGACAAGGGAACTAAATAATGCAGCTCTATGCTTGAGTTTTTGCCAGTGTTCTTCCTCTCTGTGGATTCCAGTTTTCTTTAGATCATTGTTTCCCAATCTCTGCTCTAGTCATTAGTCAAATGTATAGTATAGCCAGTTACATTCCTTATTAGGATTCTTCATGAAACAGGAAGACACTTTGAAAAACATATACAGAGAGAAATTCATTTTTAAACAATTTCTGCTCTATATACCAGTTCACTTCTTTTTGGACATTAGCTCTTCACTTTCAAGAGAAGATGGCTATTAATTGAAATACAATAAAAGCAACAGCAGTGTTGCTTCCATCACTGCTTTCATTCACTTTAGGCTTCTTATCCATAAAATAGGAGAGGGATATATGGGAACATCACCCATTAATGTCGTTTATGCATTCAACAAACATTTACTGTGTTTCTAAAGCATATTTGATATTTTGGGAAATCAAGAGAGAAATAATAGTAGGTCACAGATACCTCTCACAAATTTTAATATTCTAAAGATGTTTCATAATAGTAAAATAGTAATATAAGATACACAATGTACAGAATCAACTCCAAATGGATCAAAGATCTCGAAGTCAAAGTAGACACCCTGAAAACATTACAGGATGGAATAGGAGAAACCCTAGGTCCTTGACACAGGCTGAAATTTTCTTATTACAGACCCAGAAATACAACAAATCAAAGAAAAGTTAGACAAATCGGATTGCATGAAGCTGCAGAACTTCTGCATGGCAAAGGACATAGCTGGGAAGATCAATAAAAAGCCCATGGATTGGGAGAAGATCTTCACTAGCCAGACAACGGACAAGGGTCTCATATCTAAAATATACCTGGAACTCTAAAAATTAAATCCCCAACAACAAATCCTCGGAGAAACAACTTCCCAATAGATAAGTGAGCTAATCTTGCTCATGTAACTGTAACCCCTCTGTACAATATTTTCACAATAAAAAACTTATTAAAAAAGAAATGTACACATTACCTTGCTCATGTAAATGTAACCCTTCTGTACAGTAGTTTCACAATTAAAAAAACTTATTAAAAAAAAGACAAAGAGAAACTTCTCTGAAGTGGAAATGAGAATGGCCAATAGACCCATGACGAAATGCTCAACCTCTCTAGCCATAAAAGAAATGCAAATCAAAACAACATTGAGATTCCACCTCACCCCAGTTAAAATGGCTATAATCAAGAACTCTAGTAACAACAGATGCTGGAGAGGATGTGGACAGAAGGGAACCCTACTGCATTGTCGGTTCAACCACTTTGCTTTTTTTTCTTTTTCACAAACACATTTTAATTTTCACAAGGCAAATTTGTTCAACCACTTTGGAAAGCAATATGAAGGTTCCTCAAAAAACGCCACATAGAGCTCCCCTATGATCCAGCAATCCCACTTTTGGAAATTTACCCAAAGGATCACAAACAAGGCCATACTAAAGCTACCAGCACAACTGTGTTTGTCACAGCATTATTTATCATAGCTAAGATATGGAACCAACCCACATGTCCCTCAGTCAATGAATGGATCAAGAAAATGTGGTATATATATGTGTGTGTGTGTGTGTGTGTATGTTATATATATACATACACACACACACACACACACACACACAGATACACACAATGGAATTCTATGCCTCCATCAGAAAGAATGACATCGCCATATTTGTTAGGAAATGGGAAGACTTGGAAAAAATTATATTAAGTGAAGTAAGCCAGACCCAAAGAAACATAGGTCCCATAGTTTCCCTTATTTGCAATAATCAGTACATGGGTAGGAAAAGCAGAAAAGTTCAAAAACTATATGCATATGGCCAGATAAGATGATGTTAAGCGAAATAATTCCCAAGATAAGGGCACAAATATTTTTTTCTTTCTTACTATTGTCTCTAACATATTTATAATGGACCATGTGATTTTTTTCTTTCTTTCTATGTTCCTCCCCGACCGTATAACCCCTGTTTTCACTGTATTTGATGTTGGTGCCCTGCATCTTGTATACACACTTCTCCGATTTGGGGAGGGGAAGGATAAAAACAAAATGCTTTAATAGGGATACAGGTTGACCCATTGTAACAATGAGATGTACAAGACACTGTGTTGAAAACGAACCTTACAACTTGGGCTGGGGCGGGGGGAGTTGTGGAGGTGGGAGGGAAGGGATGGTAGGAGAAAAACAAAGGAGGAGGCAACAAGGCTCAATAGGAAATGTACTCATTACCTTGCTCATGTAACTATAACCCCTCTCTAAAGTATTTTTACAATAAAAAACATACAAAAAAGATACATGGCATGGTACAAGGGAATCTCATAGTTATTTCCTTCCAAAGTCAAATGATATGTTTAAAACAAGAGCTGGGAAATGCATTGCTTCTTAGGCCCAGCTCAGTTATCCTAGATAATTTCCCCATCTCAAGATCCTTAATTTGATATCATCTTCATGCAACATAACATTTTCTTCTGGATACAGTAACCCAAACCTATAACAAAGCTACTTAGGGGAAAAACTTGGGGGGAATCATTGTTTGAGGTTAGCCAAGGCATAAAAAAATACATGAGCGATGAAATTATCCCCTGAGAAACTAATATTAACTAATAAAATTCCAATGTTAATTTTAAAAATGCATAAGACTTCATCTCAACCAATGGCTCTGTGCAATGGTAGATTCCTGTTATCCCAAGGGAAAGCTCAATGGCTAGGTACAGTGTGTACATCTCTCACTCCAAGGCTGGCTTGGGCATAATGTGAAACCATACATTGAAAACAGCCAACACATAACAGGGATTGGAAGCCCTTGATTTGTAAACAAGGCCATTTAAATCCCTGTATCAGAAAAAAAATGGATAAAATGTCTTCAGGTCTCAGGAACTATGGAATGTTCATTACTTGGGCATTATTCCTCTGTCACATTCATAACACCAATTGGTCTAGCAGTACCCAGCAGACAAGAAGTTATGTTTCTAAAGGGTGTAAGATGTGTGACATAGGCTCATTTCATAGTATGCTAGAGTGGGAAGACAAATATTAACTAATAGTTAACAATGTGATAGAAGTTTAAATAGAAGCTCACACTGTTTCTAGAACACACAAGAGGCATGCTCTTAGACTTATTGCACTATGCTCACAGGAGACCTTGACACCACCTATAACTTATTTTTTATAATCTCTTCTTTTTGTTCTTTTATTTCTGAGTCCTATGGTCTTCCTTTGCCAGAACATTTTATGCCCCCAGTGCTTGAGTACAAGGATACATAGGCTTAAAGCTTGCCAATTTACAAACACATAGTATGCTACTATTACTAGCATCTGTAATAGACATTGCAATGAAATGTATAAACCCTGGCACATGATAATTTTTGCATCTCAAAATAAATCAGTTAAATTTCCTAATACCTATGAAAGATTCTGAAGGTGGAGATAAAAGTATGCACAATCTAAAATCCCAGATCACAACATTAGTTCTTCAATATACAACAAGAGGGAACAAAAACTATTGAAAGGAAACTGAAATAAATCAATACAGCACAAAATGTTTGACTCCCTTGTCTCCTCTGGGGGTGGGGAGAAGTGTCTGAGTGATCGAACATCACTAT